CTTTGGCAGCCATTTTATAAAAAAACCAAGTGAACCTGCTGATTCAGGTAGAAATAAGTGGCCATGCTGTGTCCCAGTCCTGAGAGCCAGACTGCCTCAGATCAAGACTATAACTTTTGAAAACTTGCATCTCTTTCTGAGAACTTGGCTTCTCATTGCTTCCAGACTTCTCTAATGCAATCAGTGGTGCTAAAACACAAACCTCTGCAATATTGCATAATGATGTGCTTCAGCATTGGGGGTGTTTTCCAAATTTCTGTGTGATGCTCCAAACTCAGGCAAGGTGGACACACACCCAGAGGACTCTGTGTCAGCATAGCCCAGAGGGACCTTCACAGCTGCGCTGTGCACAACAGCCAGGATGCCCATTGCAGAGGAACCCATATACATAATGGGATTTTATGTAGCTGTAAAGAATGGAGTTGTGGACATTTATAGGAAAAGGATGGAAATGATAATTATTAGGTTAAGCAAAATAAACCAGATTCAGACAGGCAGACAGACATTCCATGTGTTTTCTCTCATGCAAATTGTAGATTTATTTTCTGTGTGTGTAGGTACATATGTAAGGATGTGACTAGGTCATGAAACTAGAAAGGGAGCTGTAAGAGGTGGCAACCTCTTAGGGGAGGAGTAGGTAGAAAATAAGAATGTATTGACATGACATGAAGACTGAAGGAAGGCTATGGGGGAGCAGAGACCAGCAGGAGCAGGTGACAGTGGGGGCATGGGAGAGTCAACAGAAACAAAGTATATAAGCAGGTCCCATAATGAAACCCATCACTTTTTAGCCAGTTTTAAAGACTAATAAAGTTTTTTTGTTTTTGCTTTGTTTTGTTATTGTTATTATTTTTAAGACATGAAAGACGATTTATTCAATGTGCAAGACCATCAAGAGGGGTTTTGTTGTTTTGGTTGGTTCATTGATTAGTTGTCCTGTCCTGAGACAGCAGCCACCTTCTTTTAGTGAAAATGGAATACAGCAGAAAGGCTCAACATCTCTGCTTCTGATATCTGTGTGGTAATTACCGTCTCACTGCTATATTCCATCTTCTCTGGGCGGTAATGGCGCACACCTTTAATCCCAGCACTCGGGAGGCAGAGGCAGGTGGATCTCTGTGAGTCTGAGGCCATCCTGGTCTACAGATCTAGTTCCAGGACAGGCTCCAAAGCTACAGAGAAACCCTGTCTCAGGGAAAAATAAAAATAAAGTGTGTGTGTGTTTGTGTGTGTGTGAATGTAGAGACACATTTACGTATGCAGATTTTTCTTTCAATATTCAGAAGCAAATATATAGTCTCAGTGACTCCCCTGAGCATGTGACCAGTGCCCAGATGCCACATTTACCCCATTATGCTGCATTTTATTCCTATGCTGTGTGTGAAAACAAGTTGGCTCAAAAAAGCCCAATTAAAAACAAAACCTTCAAAATAATGAGTGTGTTACCCAGATAGCAGCTCCATCAAGTTGTAGAAATCGCCCTCACTGAGCCCCTTCTCCATATAGGAGGTTGCAAGGTAGAATCGTGTCTCTGATGATGTGCTGAGATCACAGGTGGCTGGGACTACAGCCCACATTGAACTTGGGGTTCAAGGTCTGACTCTGTGGTGCCTGCCGTCTGGAGCGTCTCAGGCCTCTGTCCTGCTTTATTTCCAAGTGGAGTTTAATGTCTCAAACTAACTTGAACGTTAGATCTCCATGAATAGTTTTTAATTAACTGACATTTTTTTTACGGAGACAGTGTGCAGCTGTGACTTACCCCTTTCTATGAAACTGGTGGTTTTCTTTGACTTTTTAAGGATTACCTGCCTTCCTGGTCCCTAAGGCAGCCCTATGGGTGCCATTTTCTCTCCTGCTCAGGCAGGCCTTGTGCTGCTATGATAACAAAGGATACAGGGGCAGACTTCTCAGTCCCAGCTCCGATACCAGTGAGTCCTTCCAAGTCACCTGCGTGAAAGTTTACCATGCAGCATAAGTCACCCGTGCTTTATCGACAGATCTGTGTCAGTCAGCGTGTAAGCCTTTGGATAGACAAGTTTCGAACTATATGGCACCATCGAGTATGAATTCTGTTTATCCTAATGTCCAGACCTGCCCAGCATCCCTTCTGCCCTCTCCAGCTCAGTGCCATATCTACAGCCACCTGGCCACTATGGCAGCTGGTCTCTCCGCCTCTGAACTCTGGGGACCCTAGGGAAGCATCCCAAATACAGTTTATCTGTGTATGCCACCGCCCTGATTCAGACCCATTAGTGGCCTCATCAGCTGTTACATTCGGACCTTGCCAATCCCTCTTGTCTGCCCACTGTGAACTTAGTCTGCTCTGGCTCCCTTCAGAGCTAGTTTGCCAGTTTGTGTACCTTCTTTACCCAGCATCTTTTGTCCTCCATAAAAACTGCCCCTGAGGGCCCTTTGCCATACCAGACAAGTCACCCTGCCTCTGTGCCTCCATAGCAACACTCTGTAGGTAAGACCCTCCTAACACGTGTCACACTTGATCCCCATTCATCTCCCTACCCCTTGCCCTTACCAGTTCTCTGGCAGAATCTAGGATAGCAAAGTCTGGAGACTGGAGGGAGGACCTCCGGGCCAGACCTCTTGGAGGCAGATCCCCCCTTGCCCTGTAGTCCAGCATGGGTGAAAATGACGACTGTCCTTGGCTTGTGCTTGTACACCAGGCTCTGGCCCATGGCTCCTTGCCATGGCTACCCACCAGCCTTAGCTCAGTTGCAGATGCTTAGCTCAAGTCTGGGGCTGTTCAAGAGCACACAGCACTGTGTCGAGGCCTTCCCTGTTCCCCTCAGGGTGTGACTGCTTTCACTGCCAAGGACAAGCAGTCTAGCCCAGGAGAGTGGGCCTTCATCATTCCCACCTGCCCCTCTCTCTTACTTGGGCACTAAAGCGAGACCTGGGGACAGGCAAGGAGAACACATACTCCAAGAACAGCAGACAGCGGTGTTGAGGTGCAGGCGTTGAGAATCCTCTGACCGTTGCGATCTGGCTAACAGTGACTTGTTTTTACACCCAGCTCCTGTGTAGACGAGCACCAGGCTTCCCCTCTATGAACCCACAGTTGACAAGCCCTGTGGTGCTGTAGTCCCCAGTGTCAAGGCCTCTCTTCCAGACTCGGGCCGGTGCACACTGCACATCACACGTGCTGTGTAGACTTGACTGTGCCAGAACTACAGGACATTTTAATCATGTCTCAGCCCCTCAAGCATGCCACCCGCATCTTGAGGGTTTGTCAGTGACAGGTGGAAGCAGGTGGTGTAGACGGTGCATGAGATCACTTAGAGTGGTCAGTGAACCCCGAAACTTCAGGTCTGCATGCCTCCCTGAGACCTTCTGGTCCTTTCTAGCCCCAGGCCATGATGTCTGTGTCTTGGCCAGGTGTCCACAGTAAAGCCTCCTGGGGGAATGTCTCAGTTTGTCCTTCACAGCTCTGTGTCCTTTGTAGATAGCTCTGTTTGGTCACAGCATGGCAAACAAATGTCTGCATTGTTCTTCTACAAGATGATGTCACTAAGACTCCAGCATTGAAAGAGGGAGAAAGAATTGAGAATCCACTTCTTTATCAAAAACAAGTAATTTATACATTAAGGGAATGATTAGTTTCCAATCAAGAATTCTAACATTTTAGAGCTACAATTTCAAATCAAGCTTAATTTGTCAAGTGACTGAAAGTGGGGGTTTTTTTTTAGAAAATTATTAGCTATTTTTTTCAATATAGGATTTATAGTCCCAATTAGTATCTTGTAATGATGTTTCCAGGATAAAATACCAGCGCTCAAATTTTCTGGCCACAAATGTACAACATATATCAGTTTATTTTTGGAGATCTGAAAAATTAGCTACTGTAAATAAAGTCCCCAGAAGACTTCTCCGGGAAGAAGAAGAACTTACAGTAATGTGGGTGACATATTATTAATTAATAACGTGACCAGCCGCTGCTTCAATTAAAAGGACAATGGATAAAGAGGCCTAGTAGGTGTGTGTGGCCTGGTGAAGCTGAGAGGGAGAACCTTAGGACTGGGAGACAGGGCTGCAGGCCTCTGCTGTGCTCCCAGAGCTCTTGGTCTAGCAGGACCATGTCTTCAGTGCAACTTTAGTTGCCACTATTGGAAACCAATTTTCAGACAACTGAAGAAGGAAGGGCCCTGGAGAGTCTCCCCTAGGACTGAGGCCAGGAACACCAGAGAGCCTCCTCTTAGCCTGCCCTTCTAAAGGTCACACTTAACTGGCATCTCTAGCTCTATTTAGATTTGGGGACCTGTCTGGCATGTGTGCACCATTGTGTTCAGACAGGATTATAGACACCGCTACAGGCAGGCAAAACCAGAAAACTCTGACCACCATGTACGGTGGGGCGGCTACACAGGAAGGGCATCCAGGAGGCACCAGGAGAGCTTTCCTATACAGGTCATGGTGAAGGGTATCTCAGGGCAGGATCTCTCCACATAGACTAGGCTGGGCATGGGATGGTGTGAGGCTGGACCGAGTAACAGCCAAGAAGTAAGGTCATTAAATAAAGGGATTGGAAAGGACTGGGAAGAATTTAATTCCAGGTCGGTGGCACTGTAAGGTACACTATGCTGTTGTCTACAGAAAGCACTCCACCCCATCCTTCCATGGCCTTTAGGAGCAGCATCCATGCAGGGCCGCCAGACCAAGCCGCCCCCTAGCCGGAGCCAGAGCTGAGAAAGGACAGGCAGTCTAAGCACAGTTACTTTACTTGTGGAGTCCTTCACTTGGGCTGCATTGGCCTCTTCCTTCAAGATAGCAGTGCTTTGGTATCTTGTTGAAGCAGTAGTTAGGAAGGCCCTCCTGAGGTGTGCTGTTCAGCATTGTGCAGAGGGAACCCGGGGTGAGTCTTTGTTGTCTGCCTTAGACAACCCAGCTATCCTAGGGAACTTTGCCGTCCAGCCCCCACATGCTCTTGCTCATATCTGGATCAGGGCAGACCTCCATGGTGATTCACCTCGCCCCTTCCCTCTCTCCAGGTCACGCAGTATTTAAACTCACGTATCTAAGCAGTCATGACTATAAGCACCTCTACTTCGAGTCCGATGCAGCCACAGTCAGTGAAATCGTGCTCAAGGTGAGTCCAATGTGGCCTTTGACCCAGGGATGGGAGGATGGGGTTCTACCTGGGCTAGTCTCAGGCCAGGGCCACACCTGCCTTGGGGAAGTGGCTCAGCACCTACTATAGCCAAAGCAAGACTCTTCAGCTTCCTTTCTCCCCGAAGGCCTAGTTCTTCATCTGTGCTTTTTACCCTTCATGCACTGTTTATTTTTCCCAGCCACTGTCAGGAGCACCTTCAGGCTTGTTAGCCAGCTGAGGAGACCATAGTTTTGGGTGATTTTCTCAACCTGTTCCAAGCGTGCCTACTGGGGCTAGCCTGGTATGAAGCTCAGCTCACTCACCAGGTACCTTCCCTGTGCCAAGCTAGCGTTCCAGCTGCCTCAGCGATGGCTCCTCTGTCCCTAGAGAACTCTGCCTCATCAGGGGAGAGAGACCAAAATAGAAATTACAGTGGGCTACCGATAGTCACAGAGCTGCTGTGTGGTTGTGTAAGGGGAGACTGGCTGGTGTTGCCCTGGGTAAGCATGCAGATTCACAGCAGCCTAGGAAGGGGTGGGTGGCAAGCTGGGTTGCTAAAGAGGCTACATCCACCTTTTAGGTCTTGTTGATTCAGGAGCTCTAGGGCAGGACCTAGGGTTGGCCCCCTTCTCTGAAGAACCCCATGCCACCCAAGCTACTGGTCTCTGTGGTACAGCCCGACCAGTACTCCTCCAAACCAGCACTCCTTTCCCAAGGCAAATCCTACACAGTTTAACAGGTAGAAGAAACAGCTGAGAAGAAAAAAGGAAGACATCTCCCCTTCCCTGGGCTGGATGAGCCTGACTTCCACCCGACCTTCTACCTCTGGGCTTCGGTTCCCTCCTTATAGGGTGGTCGTCAAGGGAGCTCTAGTGCCCCCACCTGCAAGGAGCTGCTCAGGTGTACCATAAACCAGATGAGATCCATGGCCCTCTGGGTCATTCTCTCCTGAGAGAAGTGGTCGGGTGGCAGTGACAGGCACTGAACTAGCCCTGAAAGCTCCTGTTGAATCCTGGCAAGTCAGAGTCGGGCACAGAAGGTGTTTGCATTGCCTGCATGAACAAAATGCCCAGAGGAAAGGAAGCATTGGTAGAATGGAGACGCTGGCAAATTGGCAGAACCAGAAACTGACAGTAGATGTGGCCGATTTTGAAATGTGTGTTATCAATCCCCGAGATGCCCTGGCTTTACAGGAATACCACAGTTCAAAGACCCCACAACCACCCAAGAAATCCAGAGGATAAAGCTTCTGGGAAGACAGTTGAGGACAAGACACAGCGACATGGGCGAAGGGGAAGTTTATAGGCTACATTGACTAGAGCCTCAGGGGACCAGGGTGAGGCCAGCACCCACTCTGGACTGCTGACTCCCAGCGAGCCAAGAGTTATTCCATCCAAGGAGCTTGTACCAGGTGTTTGGAGAGTGGGTAAAAAAGTGTCCCAGTCCCCCACTTATTTTTATAGCGAACATTAAAATATTCAAGTCTTGAGAAGGGTTCTAGTAAAATTACAATCCTGCGTTTGACATCAGCATAGTTTCCACAGCAGCAGATTGATGACAGAAGCCCAGGTTTATGACTTCAGTACGAGCCTGGAAGATCAAGTACAGGGAATCACTCACAGGACAGAACCCTCCCTCAAAGCAGCACTTCTCTGCCAAGCCCCCAGGCCTGCTTCCTCCCCTGAAATGTCTGTGTACATCTCAGGGCGTTTGTAGAGGTATCACGTCACTGTGCACCTCAAAGGGCTTCATCCCAGAACCTGACTGACACAGCGAGCAATCGTGGTCCTGACCAAAGGCTGAATTTCACTTCTCCTGCCCCCTCTCTCAAGGGGTTAAACTCCAGTTTTTCCACCATCCCCTTCATGTCAAACCCAGGACTGTATGAGCTTTGTGCCCGAGCTCAGCTACCAGGGCCTCAGCTGCCTCCAGAATTGACAGGAATGTTAAATCAAGCTCTGTGCGGTTCATCTCAGACTCAAGTAACATGTCCAGAGCTTAGAATGAGAGTTTATACCAAAATTAAGAGCCCAAGGCTAGTGCCAGCGTAGCTATCACAGGCTTTCTACGGGACGATGAAGCTGAGTAGCAGCTACATCCAGGGTGTCTCTGCCGTATCTCGGAGTATAGACATCCTTGTCCCCATTTTATAGATGGGACTGTGCTGCCCAGGGCTGCCCTCTACCCACCCCAATATGCTGGAGTCACACAGTGCTCAGTCCCTCATTCTTCCAGCCTCGAGATGAATCTCTGGGGAACTGTTGGGCTCTTCACACCAGGTTCTTCTGTGATCGAGTGATGGAGGCTGTGACTTTATTGACCATGAAAACTCCCTATATTTTTATGCCTTAAGCTGTAAAGTGCATCGAAAGTAAACCACTCTGTAGTGCATAAAATCGGGCACATTTTAAGCCACAGCATATTAACCAGCTAATGGCAGACCAAAGGGCGATTTTATCTTTTGATTATTACATTAATCTTACATTAAAATTATCTATGTGATTATCACAAAGCACTGAAGATAATAAATTTAGGAAACAGTTGGCTTGTTGAGGACCATTTTAGAATGCTTTTGTCAAATTAGATGTGCCAAAAACACACTGCAAACCCTGGGTCAGCTAAGTGTAGATGATGTAAGCCAGAGATGGCATTTACCAAGCATGAGAACGCCTCCCGCCAACTCCACACCTTGTGCACACTGCCACCGATCACCCTCCCAAGCCTACGTTCTGATTTATGGCTCTCGGTTGGTAGCTTGGCAAGGCTGTGAGCAAATGAGGCGGTCCTTCTGCAGTGGTGCGTTAGCCTGTGCTTCCCTCTGTTGATGACCAGCACAAAAAGTCTGGGGGGCATTGTTAGAGCCTCAGTCTGCAGCGGCCCTCATCAGAGCCTCCAGCTGCCTTCTCCAGCCCAACTTGAGCTTTCTAGCCAGGCCTCTGAGAAGTATGAGAGGGAACAGTCTCTGTGTTCACAAAGAGTCCAGGCAGAGCAGAACTGTGAAGGAGGCCATGTCTGAAAGTGCACAGGTTGTCCTGAGATGACACACACTCCAAACTGAAGTCCACCCTGACTTCTGGTGACCTCAGCCCTCTGTGGTTATCTGAGCCTTGCTTTTCTGACTGACTCTGGCTGGTGGGGTGCAGCAGACATTAGAGGGATTCCCAGGCCAGGCTGCCGGGAGGCTCTTCTTCCAGACAAGGAGGCCGGGGTGCCCTGTGACAAGCAGGGCTGTAGAGCTGCCTGGACAAAGCTATGAGAACATCAGCCTAGGGATCAGTAACCCCACTACTCAGACTGAGAAGCCTGCACTGCCCACCTATCTATATGCAATGCAAGGGCTCCATCCTGGCCTGCCAGGCCCCACTGTCAGCAGCAGCTAGTCCAGGGTCACCCGCCCAAAGCAGGTGTCCCTTCCACCCTATGCTCTGGCCTGGGGGAACAGCCAGTGCCGCCAAGTAACAGTCATGTCCTTTTGCTCCTAGGTCAACTACATCCTGGAGTCACGAGCAAGCACTGCCCGGGCTGACTATTTTGCTCAGAAACAAAGAAAACTGAACAGACGTACAAGCTTCAGCTTCCAGAAGGAGAAGAAATCAGGGCAACAGTAACGCTGGCCTCCAACCTGTTGCCTCAGCCCAGGTTGCCTGTAGGGCCAAGTGACCCCGGAATCCACCTTCATCCTGCAGTGCCTGGTCTCACAGGCATAGGGCTGCTGGGCTCTAGGGAGAGGTTTAGAAGTAGGGGTGCCCTACTCTGGAGTCCAGGGACATTGCCATTGGACTGAAACCTGGCAATGGCTTTAAGTAGCAATGCCCAGGAACCAGACACCTCCTGGAAAAGCCACGTGCTGCCCAGCCATGTTCACTGCCTGGCAGTCCCACCAAGGATGTATATAGCCATGCCAGACAGCTCCTTGCAACTTGATCAAATTTCTTAAAGCAAAGAAAGAACAAAAATGTACATTTCTTTTTTTCCTTTTAATAAACAGGTTACTCTTTATCATGGTTGGTATGATGGACCATTTTTGGGGGGCAGAGAATTGATTATATTAATCTTCTTTAAAATCTGTTTCTGTTTTGATCAGGCAGATTGCAAAAGCTGTGATTGACGCTCTCAGAAGCAATGTTTAGGCTTAGCCAATAGTTAACTATGCCATTTGTTTAAATTAGGGTATTTGCTTTGAAAATATCATCTTGGGAAGTTAGGAATGAAGGCCATGCACACATGTGTGTGAGTGTGTGCGTGTGTGCGTGCATGCATGGCTGTCTTTTTCCCCTTGAAAGGCCTTCTCAGCATGTGACCTGAGAGACAGGTGCTGGTAGGATGGTGTGGCAGACAGTGTGTCTCCAAGCATTGAGTTCCCAGCCTGAGTTTCTCTCATTTCCTCAGAGCTGGTATAAGATGTTCAGGCAGAACCCCGAAGAGTTTGCCTCTCTGGCTCTGAAGCCTGTCTCCTGCCCTGTTCTCAGTGCCTGCTGAGAGAGCGGTGTTGGGGATTGAGGAGTAGAGGGGAGCCCATGTCCTTGTACCCCAAGCCCTAGGTAGAAAAGGCAGGGTGCCCAGCACTCTGACACCACACCTCTGGCTACACCAGCTGCCTCTGCAGACCTCACATGGTTCCTCCTGTGACAGCATCCTTCCATACTGTGCTGGACCAGGGCCACAGACCAACATCTCAGAGCCAGTGTGCAGGTCTCTGCTAAAGGGTCATCTGGGCGAATGCCTCTCTCATGTCACTCCATTCAGACAACAGGAGCACCCTTTTCTAATGTCTTCCATTCCTGTCACCCCAAAAAAGATATTATTTGTAGCTTGCTCTGTATTTGAATTTTTAGCAATTTTATATTTAGATATCTTTGAAATGTAAATGACTAATTTGGTCATTAAATCTTGTCACATATTCGATATTAAAATACTAAAATAAAAGTCATAAATACCCTCTTGTATATTGCTTTGGATTCCTAAAGCCTTGAGTGTACAATGCTGAGGTGGTAGCACCACAGTGGGTCTTCTGGGGTGACTCGCACTGGCAGTGGACATGCCCAGCCATGGGAGGCTGTACAGAAGCCATGTCCGGGCACCCTCTTGCTCGAGGGGCACTGGAATCTTGGACTCCGCTCTTGACAACCGATGGTGTGTGGCTCTCAGCTGGCTAGGGCCTCTGGGCCTTGAGTTGCCTGATGTCAGTCCAGATGCTGCATTAGGCCAGCTGCAATCAAGGTTCTTAACTCTTTAGGTCATTGTAAGTCAGCCTCCCAGTCTTAAAAGACGCCCCCTGGCCCTGATGGGGGAGTCTGGCCCATCTCAAAGTAGCTCAAGGTAGCTCATTACTGTCTAGCCTAGTCTCTGACCCTCTGCTGACACCTCTGGCTACAGTGCTGACTGGCCCCATGCCTTCTCTATTGGCCAATTTGGACATGCTAACTCCCTGTCACCTGCTGACTGCTATGGACCAGAAGTCGCCCAGCTCAGGGGCATGGTCCACACCTAGCAATATGTGGCTGTACTCTGTGGTTGTGTCTCTTTTCCCAGTTCGGAGCTAGCAGCTGACCTACACTTCTGAGTCTCTGTGGAGTCACAGGCTGGGAGGTAGCCCCATGGGCCATATCCCTGCCAGCTGCTTTCAGGGGCTCCCCATCGCCTCGGATCCAGGACCCTAGCGCTATAGTACATGGTGTATATGGGGGGAGGGGGCACCAATCAGGTAATGTGGCCTCCAGACCAGAATGAGCTCCAATCCTAGCTGTCTCCTTACTGCTAGACCTTTGGGTGAGCTACTTCCTTGAGCCTCAGTTTCCCCTTCTGTAAAATGGAGATGAAACTAGTTCCTTCCAAGGGTGCTTGTGAGGGTTAGATATGCTTGCTAGTAAGAGTGACCAGGTTGCCAGACGGATGGCACACGCCTTTAGTCCCAGCACTCAGGAGGCAGGTAGATCCCTGAGACGTCAAGGCAGGCCTACTCTACGCAGAGAGTTCCAGGCCAGCCAGAGATAGACAGTGAGAAGACCTTGTCTCCAAAAAGGAGGTGGAGAGATAGCTCAGTAGTTGAGAGCTTTGACTGCTCTTCCCGAAGACCCCACATGTTTTATTCCCAACACCCACATAGTAGCTCACAGCCGCCTGTAGCTCCAGCTCCAGAGGATCTGATACCTCTGGCCTCTGCAGACACCTGCACTCAGTGTGCACATACCTACATGCAGGCATGCACACCTACACATAATTAAATATAAGTCTTAAAAAATAAAAATAAAAAAGGGGTCAAGATCATGACAGGGAAACCCACAGAGACAGCTAGTTGGAGCCCCGAGCTACTTGGAGCCCACGGACTCTGGACCGACAGCTAAGGAGCCTGCATGGGACCAACCTAGGCCCTCTGCGTGTGGATAACAGTTGTGTTCCTTGGCCTGTTAGTGGGGTCCCAAGGAGTGGGATCAGGATCTGTCCCTGGCACATGAGCTGGCTTTTTGGAGCCCATACCCCATTCTGGGATGTCTCACCAGCCTTGAGACAGGGAACAGAGCTTGGTCCTGCCTCAACTTGATAGACCATGCTTTGTTGGCTCCCTGGGAGGCCTGCCCCTTCCCGAATGGAGGAGGAGTCGAGTTGGGGGTGGGGATGAAATGAGAAGAGAGGAGGGAAGGGAAACTGGTATGTAAAATAAATGAAAAAAAAATAATATAATCAGTAAATAAGAACGGGCCAGCTCCTTGTGCTAATGAACAGCGTCCAGACTTAGTGTCTTATCAAAACCGTTTAATCTAGTATGGGTCCAGCTTCCTCTGACGATCACAAAGGCCACTCCCATTCACCTTCTGCCACCCAGACTCATAAGATGACACACACTCCAGGGAGCCTAGGAAGGGGAGCCACCAAGGGTGAAGAGTCACAAGTGTGCTTCCCAGTGTCACCCTTTGCTGGCCACTCTACAGAAGCACTTTGTCTGTGGGCCTATTTAAATCTGCAACAGATTTATTATACTCCATTCTGGGCTAGTGTGGGACTCTCGTATCTAATGCTGCAACACTTGTCTGCAATTGAACATATTCTTTTTTTATTTAGACTAGCAACCTCTCACCTCCAAAGCCTTTTTAAACAAGCAGAGCCATGCAGTCAGGATTTAGTGAGCACTGTATGTCTCTGATACACACTGAAATAAATATGTAACTATTCGGGTTTTAAACACTCACCCGTGGGAGGGTCTGGAGAGATGGAGCAGTTAAGAGCACTGGTTGCTCTTCCAAAGGACCCAAGGTTCAATTGCCAGCACCCAGATGGCAGCTCACAATTGTCTGTAACTCCAGCTCCAGGGGATCTTGCACCCTCTTCTGGCTCCCTCCATGGGCACCAGAAACACATGTGGTGCACAGACATCCATGCAGACTAAACACTGTACACATAAAAAATAACAGGGAAACATCTTAAACCACCCATTCAAATACCCCCCCCAAATCATGTCATGCACAAGAGCCACATTCCACACAGGGGACAGTAACTGCCGTTGGACATTTTTGAAAATATTTTTATTACATTTTATTTTTTATTTTGTGGGTGGCAGGCACGCACATGTGGAGGTCAGAGGACAACTGTAGGATCTGGTTCTCTCCTTCAGCCACGTGGGGCGTGGGATCATGAGATGATGGTAGTGATCACATCTGGCACTTTACCCACTGAGCCATCTTGCCAGCTCTTCCTTGACGCTCTCTCCGTGCCTGCATTTCACAGGCTATAGGCTCTCAATTCTATTTCATAAATCTTGGTCATCCCAGGCCAAGCGCTCCCTCCCTGACTTTACCGATGGGGAAAGGGAAGCCACTTAGGGTCCTGTCCTAATTTACTTTCTGTTGCTGTGGTAAACGCCATAAAGCAACAGAAAGTAAATGACCAAAAACAACTCGAGGAAAAGATCTATCGGCCTACAGCTCCATGTCACAAATCCATCGTGAGAGAAGCCAGGGCAGGAACCCCGTTGGTAGGAACTGAATGAGGCAGAGGCCGTGGAGGGGTACTAGTTACTGGCTTGCTTAGCCTGTTTTCTTACACTTGCCCAGGAATGGCACCACCTGCAGTGGGGTTGGTCCCTTCCACACCCATCATCAATCGAAAACTCTCCAGCAGTCCAGTCGAATGAGAGTAGATTCCTAGTAGAGTGTCCCTCTTCCCAAGAGACTCCAGTTTGCAGTGAATTGAAGAAAAGAAAAAGAAAAAAAAAACCTAACTAACCAGTGCATGCTCTTGTCTCCACTCCCACACCTTCCCCAGCCTGCTGACGAGGGCCAGAAGGCAGGGAGTGTTTGCGTCCACCGAGCTCCTCCACTAGATGCAGAAAGCACCAGGGCGTGTGTCACTCGTGGAGTCCCCAGGCCAGTTCTCAGCACAGTGGGATTATGTTTCAAGTGACTGCAGCTAAACTCCTCTGACGGACAGGAAGGCTCCCATTGCACTGGCTGCTGCTCACCTCCCGATTAGACAAACACATTCTGAGTTCTGGAATGAAAAGTTAATGTGCCCGTTTATTCATTTTTCTGACAAGTCACTATAGATTTTTAACTGCCAATGAGTAACCTCCCCAAGGTGCGGTGACCATTGAGTGGTCATTTCTGCCCAACACCCCCTACCAGGCAGCTCTCTCCTGGGGCCAGCTGTGCCCTCTTCGGCATCCCACAGGAGCTGTCCACTCAGCCTCATCAAGATGACCAGGAGTTGGTGATGGCCTCTCGCATGGCAGCCAGGGGCCAAGATGCCTATTTCCACCTGCCTCAGCCTCTGTAAAATAGAAGCAGTGGTAGTGGAGTTCAGCCTAAAGAAACCAGCTCTACGAGGAACACAAAAGGCTAAGCTTGAGACCTTGCTCCAGGCCCAGGGATCCAGCCAAGCTATCCAAAGAGAAAATTAACATCTACCTCCGTATGCTATGTGAGCCCAGACCCATGACTCAGCCTCTCCAAACCCCTTGTCTGCACAAACATGACAGCACCCCACTGTCTATGAAATAAATGCGG